GTCCTCTCACAGCTCAGCAGGTTCGATGCATCAAGTCCATTCCTAAGATGGTCTTGAACTTCAGGTGTGATACACTCAAAGTTGTGTTGTAACTCTTGTTTAATTTTTTCCAACTTCAACCTTACCTTACAACTGATGGCCTGTTCCAATAGCTGGCCTCCTTTTGGTAGTTAATATTGAATCTCTCTATCATTTCTTCTTGTAATCAACTTGATTCCTCGGCATTCCATTTGGGGAGGTCCATATGTACACTCATCTCTTATGTTGTTTAGAAAAGGTATTTTCAATGAAGTTATTGGTCTTAAAAAAATTCTATCACATGATTTCTAGTTTCACTTTTTCACCAAATCATATTTTCCCATTACTGTTCCTTCTTCTTTGTTTCCAACTTTTACTGACCAGTTGTCAATAATTATCAACACATACTGGTTGCAGGGGGTTCCTGGTAGCATAGTGGCTACACATTGGACTGTGATCCATAGGGTAAGAAGTTTGAAACCACTAGCAGCTCCACAGGAGAAAGACAGGCTTTCTACTCCCATAAACAGTTATAGTGTCAGAAACCCACGGGGGTTTGTTATGAGTTGACATTGAGTTGATGGCAGTGAGCTTGTTTTTTAGTGATCATATATTTGATCAGCTTCGGACTAATCACAAGCTTTATTGGTTGATGCATAAATTTGAGTAATAGTTGAATTAATTTGGTAAGTATATAAGTGTAGGTATATAGATATTACCTTGCAGATATATAGATATTATCCTACTGCAGACTACATTGTACTTGAAAATAGATCTTGAAATAATTATTCTTTTTGACAATGAATGCAATGCCATTCCTCTTTTACTTATTTATTTGTAATTTCCGCCAGAGTAAACCGTATGACTATTTGATTCAAGATGGCCAATTCCAGTCCATTGCAGCCAACTAACATGTAGGATTTTGAGCTTTATGTGTTCCATTTCATTTGCGATGACTTCCAGTTTTCCTAGATTCATACTTCGTTAATGAATGGTCCTGCAGGATTACTATATCTTAATTGCCAAAGGACTGAGAATTGTTGTCCATCCAAATTGATATAAAATCTATCACATTCTTCCAGTCTTCAACACGTTCTTCTTTTCTTCCTTTTTCTTGTCAGCCTTCCTTTATTGTATATTACCTAACTTACCCTTCCAGCCCTGGTAACTGTTTTATCTAAATTAGCGTTCTCTACTTGATTTCTAGGTTCTAATATCCACTGTAATGGCCATACAGACCTCACAGACAAAACTCATGATTAATGGATTTATTAAGGACATTAACAAGTTGTGATGGCAATGAGAAATGCTCAGGGCTGAGTTATTAGGACATGTTACAGAGTTCTCTCAAATCTGCTAATAAATTCAATGGAACTCTGCTGTAAGCATCAACCAGAAAGCTTAAACGCTGGGTCAGCAAATCCAACTCCCTGAAATAAGAGCCCAGGGTCACTCCACTTCAGGAAGCTTCAGCCCAAAGGCACTCTGCCCCCCTTCCATGGGTCAGCAAATCCAACTTCCCCAAGTAAGTACCCCATTCCGCACGTCACTCTCTTCCCAAAAGCACGCATCTTAACTCACTCTGTGTGTTGGGAAGTCCATCCCTCTGTTCTGTGCTCTGGCTGCTGGTTCTATTACTGCTCCTCTGAGGGCATAGCTGTCTTTGGAATCCAGGAGGTTCACAGAGGACAGCTCCCCACCTGGATCTTGCTGGTAATAAAATCCCTCCTCTTGATTTCCAGAGGAAATCATTTTATACATAACACTCAAGGGAAGACTGCTCACAATTACTCACATGTGAATACTATCAGTATCTCCCCCCACCTTCCAACCAGACCGATTCAGGGAAAAATCATTTGGTAGGAGTTAGAGAATTTGGCTAAAAAAGTCACATTATATAATTCACTGCAATAGCCATCAAATAGTGTTTCTTTTAATATGGAAAACTTTTCTTGACTTATTGCAATAATAGTCTAATCAAATATTTGTCCTTGGGTGATTGACTAAAATCGCTCAGCATAATGCTCTCCAGGTTCATTCATGTTATGAGATATTTTGCAGATTTATCATTATTCTGTGGTATTCTGTTGTATGTATGTACCATAGTTTGTTTAAATATTCTTCCACTGATAGGTATTTAGGTTGTATCCATTATTTTGTTATTATGAATAGTGCTGCAATTTTTTCTGGAGTCCAAGAATAACATTCAAGTGTGGCTTCAGAAGCTCACATGAGCTATTTATACCTGGAAGATAATATCTATTTTTTTCCTCTTCATTCACTCAATATCTTTTTATGAAGGATAATAGTATTTGTGAAAAGAGAACATGGGCAATGGAGAAGATAAAATTGCCATGGTAGGGTGGTTTCATGTGGGATTGGTGAGTTTGAAAAGGAAGACATTGTACAGGTAAGACATTGTTAATAGGTGGAAAAAGAAGAAAGTGAAACAATGACCGTGATATACCGATAAACATTTTATGTTCATCCAATGTTAAAAAAAACCCAGACACAAATTCAATATCTACATGCTTATTATAAATTTTAATATCTTGAGGATATGTCAAAAATTATCTACAAATAACAATAAAACAAACTCCTATAGTCAAATATCTATAACATCAATACAATTTGCTATTGCTTTTATAATATGCTATAAATTTTTAGTATTGTCTTATGAATAAGAGTTTTATATAATCAGAATATGAATAAATGTTTGATACTGTGCAAAGAAAACCAAGAAGGAAGAACATTTTGCATACCTTAAACTGAAACAACTAAGGAAAAAAATCAAGCCTCAAATTGAAATATTGGAAGATTCTATGGGCAAAATATTGAATGATGCAGGAAGCATTAAAAGAAGATGGGAAGAATATACAGAATCACTGTATCAAAAAGAATTAGCCAATATTCAACCGTTTCAAGAGGTAGCACATGAGCAAGAACCAGTGGTACTGAAGGAAGAAGGCCTAGCTGTACAAGAAGCATTAGCCAAAAACAAAGCCCCAGGAATTGATGGAATACCAATCAAGATGCTTCAACAAGCTGATGAAGCATTTACTGGTCTATGGAAGGAAATTTGGAAGACAACTACTTGGCCAACTGACTGGAAGGGATCCATATTACCCATTCTAAAGACAGTTGACCCAACAGAATGCTCAAATTATAGTACAATATCACTGATATCACATTCAAGTAAAATTTTACTGAAATGCAACAATGGTGGCAGCAGTGCATTGACAGGGAGCTGCCAGGGGTTCAGGAAGGATTAGGAAAAGCACATGAAACAAGCGATGTCATTGCTGATGTCAGCTGGATCTTAACTGAAAGCAGAGAACACCAGAAAGATGTTTGTGTTTCATAATAAAACTCTGGATATCCGTGAGAAGAATGGGAATTCCAGTAAACCTCAGGGTGCTCATTTGGAAGCTGTCCATGTATCAAGAGGCAGTTGTACAAACAGAACGAGGGAATATTGCTTGGTTTAAAATCAGGGAAGGTGTGTGCCAGGGTTGTATCTTCCCACCATTCGTATTCAATGTGCATGCTGAGCAAATAACCTGAGACGCTTGCTGACGTGAAGAAGAGTGAGGCATCAGAACTGGGGGAAGGCTTATTAACAGCCTGTGATATGCAGACGACACAATCTTGCTTGCTGAAAGTGAGGAGGACTTGAAGCATTTATTGATGAAGCTCAAGGATTGCAACCTTCGGTATGAATTACAATGGAGTGTGAAAAACAAAAAGTAAAACAACATTCTGTTGGATCCACCATCAATGTCTGGTTGCACAAGACCTCCTCAATGTGTTGGAAAGCAAGGATGTAATTGAAGAGTAACATGTACTTGCCCCAAGCCATGGTATTTTCAACCGCTATTTATGCATGTGAAAATTGGACACTGAATGAAAAATCAATGCATTTGAACAATGGTGTTGGTGAAGAATATTGAAAGTACCTACAGACTGTCAAAAGAATGAGCAGATCTGTCTTGGAAGAAGTACAACCAGAATGCTCCTGGAGGCAAAGATGATGAGAGTTCATCTCACATATTCTGGACTTGTTATCAAGAGAAACTAGTTTCTGGAGAAGGACATCATGCTTGATAAAGTGAAGAGGCAGCAAAAATGAGGAAGACCCTGGATGAGATGGAATGACATAGTGGCAGCAACTATGGGCTCAAATGTGAGAATGATGCACGACTGGGTGGTGTTTCATTCTGTTGTGCATAGGGTTGATATGAGTAAGAACCAACTTAATGGTAACTAACAACAACAACAACAACAACAACAGCTATCTAATACAGTAGCGGAGTTACTCCATGTATTGTAAAGAGTTAAGAAATGTTTTCACACTAAAAGGGACATTCTTTGTTTCAGGAGTGGAAGACAGAAAGGGGACTAGAGGGTAGACAAGTGTTTATTTGTGTGAAGGGGAAGGCAATACACAATAAGAGGGTGGCTAGGAGAAAATCATGGTGGCAGATGAAGACACTGGAAGGCTAGCAAGAGATAAATGCAACAGAGGCAAATAGTGTTATACACATAGTCCTAAAATAACATTGATCCATGAACAGATGATTGTATAGACACGCAGGTAGAATAGGTGTGGAAGGAAGAGTGTGAGTGCACCCACAAATCTATAGAGGTTTGACAAAGCATATTTGTGTATTTGGATTTACCTTTGCTACATGTATATCCATGAATGTGGTGGAGTATGTAAGGGGCAAAATTTTGAAAACTTTTAGACAATGACCAAATATCCTGGGGGGATAATTCGCTGGGCCTGGAGGTTCAGGACCATTAAAAAAATAAATGAATCAACTGAATGTAGATTCTTTAAACACCTAGAAAACATAATAGCTAAACGAAGAGATTACATAAAACCCAAGAATACAATGCATTGTTTAAAAATTGTTCTCATTCAAAATCAAGGCCTTTGATTTTGAAACAAAATACCCCAAGATTTGCATTTCATTACTTACCAGCTGGCAGACCTTGAGGGAGTTGACTAGCTGCGCATTCTGACAGGAAAGAACGGACCCCGCCAAATTCAGCATGACACACACTGCGGAGAGCAGCGTGAAAAAGGTTATCTGCAAACCAACCAAACAATACGTTTAATTATTCATTTAGAGAGGCTTGAAAAATTGTTTGACTTTTAAAAAGTTTTTAGTTGATAAAATAATTACATGGGTAAGATGTATATGTTTTACAGGGAAGTTTAGTTTCCAAAATTTCAACTTCATATTATCCTAGAAGAAATAGAAAAAAGGAAAATCACTGAACAGATACAGCAAGCTGCCATGATTATATTTGAAATGTATTATGGTTAAATATTTCAGAAGTCAAATTTTAAATGCTACATATTATTTGGCCTCAAAGTAGATTTGCTGGACTACAAGATAAATATTTAATTTTACTGGAGTCTGTCAAATTCCCCTCAATAAGAGTTGTACCATTTTTTAATTCTCACTGGCAATGTATAAGAGTACCAAAGTCTTGATTTTTTTAGCCAATGCCTTTCACTCCAAATATTTTTGCCTAAATTAAATTTAGGAACAATTGGGTATTATCATTCTATAACATAGATATAATGTATCTTTAACAATATAACAAAGTGTGCTTTCCTTAAAAAGTACATATAGAATAGGATATGGAAAGAAGTTATTTGTTTATTTAGGAAATATTTTGATGAAACCCTCACAATATTAGGAGAATTTCATCAATAATCTTAGCTGTAGTTCTACTTTCTTTTTTCAATTCTAGTCTATATAAGTTGCTTCTAGTTAGAGTTTCAAAACTTTCTCCAAAGCTATTTCTAGCGTGTAATGAAATTATGCCCCAGCTGAGCACAAGATATTTACTCATAGACAGAATTGATAGAATCATTTTAATTCCACATTGGTTCCATGAACTTTTCCCTCAGAATAGGAAAAACAATTTTGCATATCTGAGACCAAGACAGAAAACCTACTATTTTAAAAGCACGGGTTTGAGCATTCAGGGAGATTGCTGTTGCTGTCTGCTTACGTAGGTTCTAGTTTAAGGTGACCCGAGGCACAACTGAACAGCTAGAACATTTCCAGGTTCTGGGTCATCTTCTTGATCTTTGATATGTTTGACTCCATTGCTGTCACTAATCTGCCATTCCAGCTCATTGAAAGTTTCCTGTATTTTCATTGGTAGTTTACTAGCCTAAAACTAAGGGACTTTGTTGTTTTAAACCACCAAGCTAATTCATTCTTAAAATATTTTATAGCAAATAAATACATCAAATATTAGTAAGAGGCATAGGTAAATGAATGTGTAATGAGATAAATGTAAAAACAGGGCACTATAAGGGGAAATTCCAATAAATGATTAGAGTTAGAGTTGTCATATATCAATAGCTTCCTGTACAAGTCAATTACTATTTATTATTTTTAAAAACTTATTAAGCCTAGTAATTAGCACTCAGTGACTCATGCCTCTACCCACACAAATCCACTACTACCCAGCTGATTCTGACTCTGAATCCTAATGTAGGGTTCTAGAGAGTGTAAATCTTTGTGGGAGCACATAGCCTCGCTTTCTCCCGAGAAGCAATGGGTTTGAACCACTGACCTTACCATTACCAGTCCAATACTGAACTGATAGCACCACAACTCTAACAAATGGTTGGTTACTATGAAATTGTAGAAGTGTCAGAATGTGTCTCACTTCGGAGGGTAAAATGACCAGAATTAGTCCAAAGCAGACACACATAAGGTGGAGGTCAGAGGTAACTCCATTCTCCAACCTTTTCACCAATTCTGATATCCATCAGTATTCCCTCTCACAGCACTCTACTTATTTGCTGGGTCTGATAATCCATTGCAATGACCACACTGAATTCAGACCACAATTACAGTTAAATAGTTTTTAAGAAAACGATGGGATACAGCTAGGGACAAAAATCAATAGAATACAACTCAGGAACAGGATCAGAAAGCATACTGGCAAAGGCTGGAAATTTTCCCCAGAGAAGAAAAACAAATCCCTTCTTATTAAGTGTAGGATAACTCTTTCACCTTCTCTCAGCAGTGCAAACAAGAATCCCCTTATCTCTGCCATATACCCCTTCCCCCTGCCCCCACCCCCCGTCTTTTTGAGCTGTTCAGGCCTTCTTGGTCCACTCAGGATAGGTTTCCTTTTCAGTGTAGATGACAATTCAGTATAAAGAAAACCAAAAAATCTCATAACTAGACCAATAGACAACAGCATGATAAATGCAGAAAATATTGAAGGTGGATTTCATTTTACTTGGGTAATCAACACCCATGGAAAGAGGAGTCAAGAAACTAAATGATACATCACACTGGACAAATCTACTACAAAAGGTCTTTTTAAGTAGTAAAAACTGAAGGTGTCACTCTGAGAATTTAGATTTGCCTGACACAAATTGTGGAATTTTTAATTCTTCATATACATACAAAATCTGGACAATAAAGAATTAATGTCTTTTAATTGTAGTGCTGCCAAGGCAAATAGATTGCCAAAGTAAACAAACATGTCTATGAAAGCAATACTGCCCCAAAAAAAGAAAGCAATACTGCCAATTCTTGAAAAGTGAGCTGGTGAGACTGTGTTTCTTGCTTTAAACATGTTATCAGGTGGCAACAGTCTCGTGAGAAGGAAATCAGTCTCATTAAAGTAGAGGGTTGACACGATGAGTTGACACAGCGGGTGCAACAAGGGGCTCGAACATAAGGAAAGTCTGAGGATGGCACAGGACCAGGTCATTTCTGTGTTGGGTTGCATAAAGGGTGACTAAGCATTGGGACCAGCTTCACAACACCTATCAACAATAACAGGAAAGCTGGAAAACTCACATTATCATCCATTATCAGCAAGGAATGCCTTAAAATTTTTAAAAAATGTCTCTAAGAGGCATTTTTCTTCAAACGTTTTATTGTGAATTAGGTGGGTGTTTACATAGAAGAGCCTTCCTTTAGCATTCAACACCTTAACAACTTCCCCAACTTCCCAATGGCTAGCCCTGTTTCTTGCCCCCCTTGTCTTCAGCTCTCCCTTGTAGTACACTATCTTCCCCTAACCAAAATTAACAGCTGTGTACTCTCCGGTCTATTGCTTCTCTTCTCGTCCTCGGTAACTCGAAGGGCCTGTTTCTTTAGGTCTGATGCCCTTTTCTCCAGGTTTTTCTCCTGTACTTGTTTTCTCACGTCTTTGTTGAAGAGAGTTTCTGCAGGATGTCTGTCTAGGACTTCTTGCTGGTAGTCCAAGTAAATAGTTTTGGAACTTGGCATGTAGTTATTTTATTGGAGAGTTTTTGTGTTTCAGGATCGGGCCAGGTAATGAAACATTGTCTACCTTGTCCCACATGCTGATATTGACATATGAAATACAATAAACTCCTTTTTATCCTGGTAATTTAAATTAAATACTACTCTTTTTTCCCTCTCATAACACAGTGGAAGTGAGCAGCTATTGTAGAGAATTCTCTTAAATCGATATTAGTTTCTTTTTCATTTTTAATTGAAATGTACTTAACATCTAAAATTCACTGTTAAAATGTGCAAATTCAGTGTTTGTCAGTTGTGGTAATTAAATGATTTGTACGTCAACTTGAATTTTTATAAAAGTGTAGCAGTGGAGTCCAGCCTGCCAATCAGGTCACAGCCTGGTGATGCATCCTTGGGAATGTGGCCATTTTAAAAGCTTATAAGCAGGGAAATGAGGAGCCTCCCGATCTATCAACTTTGTCTCTCTCTGTGTCTCTCTCTCAATCTCCTTTCACCTTTCTGCCTGCTGGAATGCTCTGCCTCAAGGCGTAGCCCTCTGTGAGTACTCCTGACCCTGACAGCTGTAGGTGCCCTGCTATATTGTCACCTACCTTGAATCCATATGACTTTGCACCCACTGGTCTGTGACCTTCCTGCATTCTGGTTCACGTGAGTCTGAGGAGGGACTTATGGACTAGCATCAGACTTATGGACTTGAGTTGGACTGGGTTGGGATGCCTCCTTGGTATACAATTACTTCTTGATATAAAGCTCATATATATACATAGATGAGTGTCACAGTGATTTGGTTTCTCTAGAAAACCTGGCCTAACACACCAGTATATTCACAAGGTTTTGAAACTATCATGGCTATTTAATTTTAGAACATTTACATAGAACAAACCCCACTCTCCTTTCCTTCTCGTCCTTGATAAACATTAATCTGTTCTGTCTCTATTAATCTGGATATTTCATATAAATACACCATGCTATCAGTGGTCTTTTGTGTTTGGCTGCTATTAGCATTGCTCCAAGAGTTATTCATGTCATGGCACATATCAATATCCCGTTCCTTTTCCTTGTGGAATAATATTCCATTGTGTAGGTATATTGCTTTATCTTTATGTATTCATTATTTGGTGGATATTTTAATTATTTACACTATTTGGTTCTTATGCATAATGGTGTTATGAACAATTATTTGCATGTTTTTATGTTAAATAGATTTAAGTATATTTTTAATGTAAAATATATTTTTGTTTCTCTTGAGTTTAATTGCAAGGTCATACGGTCACTGTATATTCTAACCTCTAATACACTGCTAAACTGATTTCCAAAGTGGCTGCATCATTATGGATTCCCAAAATCAATGTCAGTACTTTTTGTCAACATTCTTACTAAAATCCCTTTTTTTATAGCAATCTGTGTGATTTTCATTTGCATTTCCCAGATAACTAGGGATGTTGAGCATCTTTCGACGTGTCTACTTGTCTATCTTCCCTGGAAAAATGTCGTCTGATCCTTTGCTGCATTTAAAAGATTAGATAACTTGTCCTTTTTACTGAATTATAAGCGTTCTGGATACAAGTCCTTATCTGTTACAAGATCATTATCAGATTTGCAAAACCTTTCTCCTATTCTGTGGATGTCTTTATAGTTTCTTGACGGTGTCCTTGAAGTACACATATTTAATGTTAGCAATGTTTACCTTTTATTTATTTATTTTGTCACTTGAGGTTTTGGTGTCATATCTAAGAAACCAATACTTTGTCCAAGGCCACAAAGATCTACCCCTATAATTTCTTCTAAGAGGTTTAGCTTTTGCATTTTAACTCTTTGTAGCTGTTTGTTATTGTTTCTTTAATATGATGAAAGATAGGTAGTCCAATTCATTGTTTTCAATGTAGATACTATGCTCTTCTACCATCTTTGTTTAAAAGATCATTCTTTGAATAATGGTCTTGGAATCTTGTAGAAAATCAACTGATCAT